AGGTTCTCCTGATGCCCCTTTGCTCTCACGAGGAGGAGGTTGTTGCAGTCCTGTGTTCTGTCCCGGCCACACTCACATCCTCTCTTCTCTTTCCCCATGAGCAGGACTCCCCGCTCCTGGGCCCTGTCTGACTGCCCAGGATGGGCCAGGGCAAGGCCTGCGGGACCCAGCTTGTGCAGCCTCGGGGCTGAGGGAAGTCTCTGCAAGTGCTGGCTCAGGTGAGGGGGTCTGGGAGGAGACGGATGTCCCAGATGAGATTCTCCCCTCTCCTGGGCTTAGACCTCGGCGACTGTGTATGTGGAGTTCAAGCTCAAGGGCTTAGAGCAAGGGGTGGTAGATTTTTTCTGAAAAGGGCCAGATAGTAAATAGTTCAGGTTTTATGGGCCGTATGGTCTCAGTGGTGATGCCTCAGCTCTGCTGTCCTGGCACAAAAGCAGCCACGAAAGCAGCCAGACAGTATGAAAAGACATGGGCGTGGCCATGAAACTTCATTTACAAAGGCAGGTTCACCTGCCCTGAAGGAAAGGCAAGGGGAGACAGGTGGCTTTAAGAAAGGTTTGGGGCTCGAGCAGCAAGAGAGTCCTACCACCTTGAGCTGGGACATGGCACTGCACACAGGCACCATAGGGAAGCTGGTCCCGAGGGCCACATGAGGGGCTGGGCACGGGGTCCTCAGGACGCCCTGAGTGTCACCAGCCAGCGGCACTCACTCTCTTGGGCCTACACCTGGGGTGGAATTGCTCAGTCACGTTGTCACTCTGTGTGACCATTGGAGGAACTGCCAGAATCAGTTCCTTTGTAAAACCTCTTAGCGAAGGACAGGGAGGTGGTTCCATCCTGTCTCAGTTGTACAGATGAGGTGGATGTGAGCTTGAGCCCATGCTTGGCTTCCTGGACAAGCCAGTGTGGAGGCAGGAGGGGGCTGCATGGGGGTGTGGGGTGGACAGCATCTCGGCAGGGACAGTTCCCGGCACTGGGAGGGCCTGTCCTTCCTCCGTCAGGTCAGTGGGCCTCAGCGTCCTCATGTGTAAATGGGACTGTCACAGTACCACCTCACGGCCTTATGAGTCTGGCCATGGTTCTAGTTCCCAGAATCAGGCTCTGAATGAGGCATCCTGCGAAGGGTGTGGAACGGGAATTTGAAGGCACTTCTCTGCGTCAAGGGCCACCCCACCGTGCCTCCCCTTCTCCCTCTCCCCCTCCCCGTGGAGCCCTCAGCAACTGTGCTTTCTCTGTCTCAGAGCTTGGGAGGCAGTTTGAGGATGGAGAGTATGCCAGGGCGGACGCATCGGTGAGAACACTGTGGGTCCAAGCACTCCCGGGTCTGGGTCAGGGGCCCGGCCCGACCAGACCCCAGCGGCCTCCGGACAGAGGGCGGCCCCTTGGGGTCCGGAAGCCGCACACGTGCCCCGAGTGCGGCAAGGCCTTTAGTAAGACGTCCCACTTGACCAAGCACCAGCGCACGCACACTGGGGAGCGACCCTACCAGTGCCAGGTATGCGGGAAGCGCTTCGGTGACCGCTCCAACTGCAGCACGCACCAGCGGGTGCACACAGGCGAGAAGCCCTACGCCTGCGCCCAGTGCGGGAAGTGCTTCAGCCAGAGCTCCAGCCTGGTCATCCACCGCAGGACACACACCGGGGAGCGGCCCTACGCCTGCACCGAGTGCGGGAAGCGCTTCAACAACAGCTCGCACTTCAGCGCGCACCGCAGGACGCACACGGGTGAGAAGCCCCACACCTGCCCCGCCTGTGGCAGGGGGG